GGGATGGGGAGGGGGAAAGAGATGCTTGTCTTGACCTCTGCAGCAGCTTCTCCAAAGGCTTTGGGTACTGCAAATCTCTCAAGTTGCTGCCGCAGCCTTCTTGTGCTCAACTTGCTTCGCAGCATTTGCTGCTGCAGCAGGCCTTTGCAGACATTCTGCTGGTGTCCCAGAGCCTCGATATGACCATGCTGGACTACCAGGCCGAAGCAGACAGCAGCAGCAGCAGCAGCAGCAGCAGCAGCAGCAGCAGCCAGCAGCAGCAGCAGCAGAAGCTGCCCGTGCTCGCCCAGGCGATGCCCCTAGGCCCGCAGCAACAAACGCAGCAGGAAACGCAGGGGCTGCAGCAGCAGCAACAGCATTTGCTGCAGCAGCAGCAGCAGCAGCAGCAAAGGCAAGAGACAGCTGCTGCCAAACACGCAGCAGGAGAGGAGGCCCTTATGTCCGGGGGGCCCCACGGCGAGCTGCTGCGCGACTGCAGCCGCCCGCAAGACGCCGCGGGAAAGCTGCAGCAGAAGCTGCTGCTGCCAGCAGCAGCAGCAGCAGCAGCAACAGCAGCAGCAGGAAACACAGATGAGTTCATTGACCAAATCAGCGCAGAACTCTCGCAGCTGCAAAGCAGACTGCCTCTAGGGGGGGCCCCCCAGTCTGAAGCTCCCCTACCCACTCATCTACTAAGAGATCAAAACTAAGGGGGCCCCCCACTTCTAGGGGCCCCTTTTTAGGGGCCCCTTCAAGGGCCCAAAAGGGCCCCTCAAAAAGGGCCTCCAAGTGGGGGCCCCCCGAAAGGGCCCCCAAAGGGGGGCCCCAAAAAAAGCCGCCAAAGGGGGCCCCCAAAAGGGCCCCCAAAGGGGGCCCCCAAAGGGTCCCCAAAGGGGAGCCTCCGAAGGGGGGCCCCTGCAGAGCCAAAGTCCGGAGGCACCCCTTGGGGGCCCCCGAAGAGGGCCTCTTTGGGGGCCCCCTCATGGGGCTGCAGGGGGGCCCCCCCTGCAGCCCTGGGTGGGGCCCCCCGGGGGCCCCCTGAGGGGCCCGTTTTATGTCTTCAAGCTGGTTACTCTTCAGCAGCAGCTGCAGCCCTAAGTGCAGCAGAAACTACTTTAGGTACAAGAGGGCTTACGGGGCCTCTGCAGCGGGCAAGGACCTTTAAAGGGGCCCCAAGAGGGGCCCTTTCTAGGGGCCCCTCTTGGGGGCCTCTCTGGGGGCCCCCAAGGGGGCCCCCGAGGGCCCC